AAAATCTAAGCCTTATATTAGAGTTGAAAAATATTTTTGTAAAAAACCCACGCTTAATATTCGAGTTAAAAAATTAATCCACGCCTTATATTCGAGTTGATAAATATTTTTTAAAAATATACGCTTAGTATAAGGCTTAAAAATTAAGCCTTATAACCGATTTGAAAAATATTTTTGTGCTACAAACCGAGTTGGACCTTTTTAAATCCATTATTTTTAGTCCACACTTCCATTGAATATATATTTGGATATGTCTTCTTCATACCTAGGATTATTTGGTCCCACTGTCCATCCACTAGTCCACTGCAGTGTTGTTACAATTTGCTAAGCTTGGTTGCATATTTTAGGCACACAAACAAACAACTCCCTCCCTCTCTTTCCAAAGCAATCCAAACCCATCACAGCCATGCGAGGAAGCTTTGAAACATTTCATTCTGGTACTTTGAAAAATTCGTCAAAGAAGAAGACACAAAATTCCGAAAGTACAGAAACAAAAAATCGGGCCGGCAAAAGAAATGCTCTACAGAAAATTTTTATGAAGCCCAGTAAGAAATTTCACAATAAAACTATGACACCATAAAGGAAGACAAGAAGCAGAAGAAAAAACTAAACAGAAATAAAACGCCGAAGAAATACTAAAACAAATAACAACAACCACAAGAAAAAAGTGAATGCACGTTTCTAGAAAACAACAATAAAGTGAGATATATTGCGGCATTTTTATGGCAAATATTTGGAGCAGAAATACCAACCATCACCAGCAGCTAAGCTATGGTGAAGAAAACTAAAAACGCTAAATGAAGTCATATTAAAGTAAAGTAAAATGTGTGTGGAGGGTTTCTGGTGTCCTATAGAAAAAAGCTAACAATAACAACAACAGACATATATCATTTCCGCTTTCCCTAAAAACCTGAATGACCAATCTACTGGTGGCCCAAACAAGCAGACCACAACCAACCGACCAACCACAGAGGACAACTCAAGTAAGTCAAGGCAAAAAAATCCATTTCAACAACTCTTTTGCTGTATTGTTGCAAAATGTGTTGTCCAGATGTCTGTGGGCCACCAAGTCAACACTAAAAACAATTTATGGCCACCCTCCCTATGCCAGAACTTAAATGCCACATTTGAATGTTGAAAGTTTTTTAAGAATTTTTTTCAATGTCATTTCCGCAATAGATATATTGCCACATGTACATATGTATATGCGGATGATATAGGGCGCAATAAAATTTAGAATGTCAGGCTTTTTATATTAGAAAATATTTTTTATAGATATTAAACATTTGTATTTTTCATTAAACAGAAACATTTCTAAATGTTCCAATATTTTTTCCCTGAAAGTTTCTTTAATAACTGCAGCTAAATTCGTGGCTAAAAGTTGAATGTGCATGGAAATAGTTGTGGGTGGTTCGGAATTTGGTTTTTCAAGGTTTACAGTGGCCACAGAAAATTTAGGAGAACAAATATTTTTTTAATTCTGAAAGGTCTCGAATATATCTCCATAAATGTGATCAGTAATGTAACTATTTCGAAAATACTCTTTAAAAATACACAATTGTAGCTCTAATACTCAAGATATGCATCAGGATTTTCATCAGAACATATTTTTGAATTGTTATTACCTTTTTGGTAATTTTCTTTTAAAATATTTACGATTCGATACCATAAGAAAATAAGGTTTAATTTCTTCAAAAAATCTGCTATGTTTCCTTCAGATAATTTATTTCAAAAATATGGACCAGCTTATTCTGCAAAAATTATTCTTCAAAGAATTAAAAACTGGTAAGTCAATTTCACTGCATCCAAGTTTTTCATCGAAATATATTTAAAATAAAATTCTAAATGTAAACCAAATTTTCATTTTTCCAATAATTCTTTAGGAAATTCATCGAGAATCCCTCAGAAAATATTTTAAATTTAAATACAGAATTCAGGTCTTGTGAAAATTAAAATAGTGTATCCCCGATAATTATTTATAAAATATCAATTTTTGTTTAATATTGGAAAAATAAAAAAATAAGCTTTGGACACATCTTAATATATTTCACCAGTCAGCATGATGGTACTGTCGAACGGGGCTAACCGTATGATACCCGAAACAAGAACCACTTCACTTTAACTTTTTGCGGAGCTAATGGGCAAAAATTCGAAATATTTTTTATATCAGATTAATGGTCAACCATCCATCTGTCATAAACTGGCAACTCTTCAAGATCCTGAAACATTTTATGACAATTGTTCCATAATTGCGACCTGTTCTTTTAATACAAATTATAATGCACAGACCGATGACTGGGCGGATGGATTGTCTAGCCCACAAAACTTATAACATCCTAATAACATAGTTGTGTGGTGTAAAAATTCAGAATTAAAAGCCTGGTAATCAAACAGAATATAGTATAGGAATTTCACGAATCAGTTTTTGGTATTCCCACACAAAATATTCTTCAGAAAATCCGCGATTCTAACCAATATTCTTCTCAACCATTCTACCAAAAAATATTTTTAAGATGTTTCCAAATTTTGGCAACGATTTTTGTTATCTCCCAATAGCACCTTTGATATGGTTCTTTTAGAAAATATTCATTAAAAATCCACGATAATCCACGAGTTGAAAACTAGCATATCAATTGAGTTCGAGACCAACGCGTAATCAATCAGCTCAGTACCAATACCTGCCCACAATTTTTATTCCTTACCCAGAATATGACAATGGCTGGCCCGTTAACAGAGAGTCAAAGGGTGCAGATGTTCCTGCAACAAGTCTATCAATGGTTGAGAATGATGGCAATCCGAGGATGTGCTTGGACAATGATGGGACCAAAGTTCGTACTAGTCATAATCTGATCGATATGGTCATTGTTATGGCAGACCCTTCGGCCATTGTCAAACTACTTTAAAATTTGCTGCAAAATTAACTCAATAAACATCTTTCCTATGACCTTTCCTTCTGTAATAGAAAGACTTCGGCTGATAGAACCACACGTTAGGCTGGGTTGAAGTTAGGTCCGAGCAGAAGTCGATGAAGCGGGCTTCAGTGTTTTTTTTTTCAGTTAAACCAGGCCCCCGAGAGACCAATACCCATATCTAACGAAGATTAACACTTAATGTAATGTGCGTCTAATGATTGAGAGATTGTCGAACTACGAAGGAATTGACCGGTGAAGTATATTGCTCCCAGTTTATTATAACACCCACATCGTATGTCTGTAATTTAATTTTAACCACAAAACAAATTTTTAGTTATTTTGGGTTTCTGGTTCTTAGGAATGGAAAATTTTCGGTAGTTTTTTAATATTTGGTAGAGTCCTTAGATGTGGGAACATTCTGATTATTGGCATTTGTAAGGACTTGGTGAAACTTCAAAACCCAATTCTACTGTTATTTCACTTTTAAGTTTCCTCTTGAAGTTTACCTTGTTAAAAATTGTCAGTATAGGTGCAATATTTCATATATCCGATATATTTCGGTAACATCGCACAGAGGACCCATAAGGACCCCATAAGAAAATATGTACAGTCGAATTTGGATAAGCAAACGCCGGTTTATCGAAGAAATCGGTTAATTGAAACTAAAAATGTTAAACTAATATTTCTGATGAATTTTCAAACACTTTACTTCGCTTAAAACAAAAACCGGTTAATTGAAAATCTGTATAAGAGAAAGACTTTTTTATTGCAAAAACACAAAAATATATGAAACGAGCACCGTTTAAGAGAAAAAAAAAATAAAATTTTTGTAAGGGCGACGAAATTCATTAAAATTTTTATGTCAAACCCTAAAATTATGTTTCACATTTTCCAACCATCCATTCAAATGTCTACGAAAAAAACAAATCCTTACTCAATTCAATTTATTATATGATTTATAAATTTCACGATTTTATGTATAATTTGGTATATCGATCACAACATTTGAGAGGCTGCAATTTGTTATAAGAGAGCAGCGATGATAAGGGCCCCATAAGAAAATATGTGTTGGTTGGTACTGGTTCACGACTTCACATAGCCATCATTCAAAAGTGGCGCCCGACGTTAAAACAAAATTTCAAGATCCCATACCGAGATATTTTATGTCGGTTTTATTCTTCTACATATAATCGGTATGTTCTGTATATTGGTTTACGACCAATATTAAAAAGTGGAGCCCAATTAAAAAAAATTAAATCCCATCCAATAATGGTTGCAAATGAATATTTCCAACCTCCATGTAGATAAGGTCGTTTCGCTAAAATTATTTAAAGTTCTCATTTTGAATCGTTCGACCCGAACTCCAATTGGTCCCCAATTTCGTATAGAACTTATTTGAATTTGGTTTCGGTGCCATATATTGGTTTACGAAGATGTGGTACCCGATGTTAAAAAAGTTCAAGATCCCATTCAAAAAATGGTTGTAAATTAATATTTCCAACCTTCATATAGAGATGGCCGCTCGGCAAAAATTATAATTTAAAGTTCTCATTTTGAATCGAGACATCAAGTTCGAACCAAACCAAACACCGTCTTTTTAGACGTTTGTGGTTTCATCATTTCTAGTACATTTATAATGAAAATTATTTGAATTCGGATTCGGTGGATTGCTTAACGTTGGTATTATGTTTCTTAATATAATCGACTAATATTCAAAAGTAGCGCCCAATGTTAAAAAATTCAAGATAGCATCTAATAATAAATATTTTCAACCTCCACGTAGAGAAGACCATTAAAAGTTCTCATTTTGAATCGTGATATCATGTTCGACCCGAACTTCAATTCATCTTAAATTGTTATATATATATCTTTTACTTTTGGTGTGACGAATTTAATTTTTGTTGTAACACTTTTATGATTCATGATCATTTGATTCAACACTTTTCACGATTTTTTGACACATTTTTATCAAAATGTATTTCAACACTTTTCACAATTTTTGACACATTTTTATCCAAATTTACTTTATACAAAATTTCCCCCATTTTAAAAAAATCGATTCCATATATCCCCATAAAAAACCCTTACCTTTGGATCCAATATTGAACGCTCCAAACTATCCTCGCGATTCAGTGTGTTTATGTTACTGCCACAACTGCCATTTAAATTTCCTGATTGCTGGTGCTGCTGCTGAGCGGATGCTTCCAAACGGAGACGGGCACGTTCTACACGTGCCAATGTTGGACTATCCAAAATTGAAGGAGCACGTGAGGGTGGACGTGAATTTAAATTAGCGGACAAATATTGCTGTTGATGAACCTGCGTATAGGATTGTGCCGATGAGGAAGCCGAAACCGACGAAGAGGATGCATGACTTTCACGTTGATGTTGTTGTTGGTGTTGTTGATGTTGTTGCAAATGTTGATGCAATTGTGATGATGAGGAATTGGTTGATATGGTGTGGGGTGGTTCCAAAGTGTTGCTGGTCGAGGAGCTCGAACCGGGTGTGGGGGTTGAGGCGGTTGTGGAATTCACTAACATTTTGTTAGAATTGAAAGGGAGTTATTTTTAAATTTTATTTTAATTTTTTATTAAAAAAGGTTTTGGGTTTTTGATTTTGTTGTTCTTTTTTTGCCTATAATAAATCAATCTTCTTCTGGGCCCTTAATTTCCAATACCACCAAATTTGTTTTGGCATTTAAGGCCTTATAATTTTTGCTCTCAACACACACTTTGGTATTTTGGCTTCCAAAAAACCGGTTTCTGTTGTTGTTGATTTTTTTTGGTTCCTTATATTTTGTTGTTGTTTTTCTTGTATTTAAAATTATAGTTCGCCGGCTTGAGAAGCAATGCAATTTTGAATTAAATTTCCAGAAATTTTATTTTAACAACTGGTCTCGCTTGGGCTTCCACTTCTTTGAGACCTTTCCTTAGAATTATTTTGTTGTTTTTGTTGTTATATTTGTTCAATTCTATTTTCTTATCTCTTTCGTAGTAGGCACGACAAAAAAGAGAAGGTAATGCTCGAGATGATTTGTGATGAATACCAACTCAAAATTGGGCAGTAAAATTTTTGAAAAGTCAGTTAGAAAATAAAGACACTTTGGTTCTGGTTTAACACAAAATTATAATATGTTTTTAATTTTTAGTTATTTTTTCAGAAGTTATTTTTTAAATTATAAATAAACTTTTAACACTGAACACTTCTTGATTAATGGTGTATTATTTAATTATTTTTTTATTTTTTGTATAATTTTTTTAAATTTATTTTCAATATTTTTAAAAATAGAATTTTCTAATAAGATTTTTTTAATATTCACAATAATTCAGATTCGATATGAATATTTATTTACACATATTTTCACTGATTAGATTTGTTTTGATTATTATTTTTTAAATATTCACAGTAATTCAAATTATTTATCAATATTTTTACAAATTAGATTTTCTTAAAAGATTTTTGTTTTATTTTCTTTTAATTAAAATATTTTATTTTTTGTATAAATATTCACAATAATCCAAAATTCGGTTTCGGTATTTCGAAAAATAAAATCGAATATATTTCCAATCTGCTGCTGTTGTTGTTTGCCGCCACCGCTTACGCATTTACGCGTCAAAACGTGCTCTCGCATTCAATTAGATTTTCCGATTGAGGAAAATTCCAAAGTCCGTTAATGGATTTTTCACCAGTTTTTCATTCACATTGTATGATGATTATTGCAGAAGAACATGTTTGAAAGACGTACACACACTCAAACGCCCGTATAAGAGGCAAATAAACTTTTTTTGGTTTGTTGTTGCTGTTTTGTTTTCTTATTGAAACAATAAAAAAACGTATCTGTAAAATTCAAGTGGGTAGCAGATACATTTTAATGGTTACAGTGGACTGAATTTTTAAAAGAAGCAAAATAATTGTAATATTTTTGAAATCTGTTGGACCTTTTTAAATTTCTGATACGTCCCAATATTTGGTATTTTATATTCATACAAAAAACTTTGAAACATTGGTCCACTTTTAAGAATGACCTCCATAGAGCGGCAAGATTTCGAGGGTTTTGCCGAATTTTCCACTAATGTTGTGGTAATTAAGCAATGCTAAATCTTGGAGAATGAAAAGAAATATATTTTTTTATAATTCTAGTCGAATTTTCTCTTCGAATTGTCAATAATTCGCCATGTGTGAATACGGTGAATAAAAAATTAATTTTTCTTCTTAATTTAATATAGGTTTTTATTAATATCAATTTTCGGTATCTTGAAGTTCCTAGTTTCCAACCTGTTATTTAGAATATTTTTTTCTGAGCATGAAAAACTTGAACCTTTATATGTGTAACATGTTTTTACACATATAAAGGTCCCGAACGATTTAAGGCATTTCGAATGCAACCACGTGGTGGAGTATATACGAAGTTTAGGCCGCCCGAACATAATGTCGATTGAACATGTTTTTTGTAATGTTCGATTAATAGTTATAAAAAATATGTTATATAAAAACTGGGTGAAATTTTCAACCTGTAAATAAATGTCCGGAAAAATTTTGTTCTTTTACCTATAACTCACTTTTACCCAAACTTTTCTGCATAGATGTATATCAGTCTTCAAAAATCTGGAATGTCAACTAACAACTACTTTTGAAGATACGTCAAAAAGGTCCACTTACATCAAAAGATTTCTGCAAAACATCCATCTAATTAATTAAATAAATTAATTCTGCAACCTTCTAGCTCATCCTCCAATGACTCGGTAATAGTTGGCCAAAAACCGTAAAAATACCGAACATAATCAAGAATATATGTACATATCGCCAACTTCCTACAATACCGTGATGCTGAATTTTTTTTCTATATTAGACTTCATGTTGTGTGAAAAAATCAGATGAATATAAACTGGTGGCCAAAACTAAAGCAACTGAAATTGCAAACAGAATAAATTACCTGTATTTTTTTAAATAAACTAGTGAATTTTTTTCTGAATAAATAGGTAATTTGCTCACTTTAAAAAAAGCATATAATCTTAAAATTTATTTTGAAATAAAAAAGTAATCTTTCCATAATAAAATTGACCCAAGTTATGCCTGGTCTAAACTTAAGCATCTTTTAAAATATAGCTCCATTTGTTCTGTAGTCCCCATATATGGTAACAAATATCCCTTTCAAAAATTATTAATATTCGTTCCTCCATATAACTCCATATAAAAAGGGGGACTACTATAGTACCACTATAGTATGTAGAGAGAGTATATAAAGTTTGTTTTCCCGTTTGTACTTATCGGAATTATAATTTTCTCTAAACGAGTCGAGATAGGTCGCCAAAATTTTGAATATAGTTGCTTTTTGTCCGCAGGTAGGTCAAGTTCGGAGATGGACTCTATCGGTCCACGTTTAGAAACGGTTCCCATATAAGGGTACTCCCAATTTTCGGGTTCTTGAGCGCTTTTCAACCGAATTCGCTGAAATTTGATACATTGAAGTCTTATTGGGTACCAAATTTCTCCAAATAAATATTATAAACATAGGCACACTTTTTTTGTAACCCACACATAACGGTACCCCGCAATTTTCAATATTTTTGTGGTTTTGAGCATAATTTTCGACCGAATTGACAGTAATTTAATACTGGGTAATAAACCTATCCACTAAAAATTATACATATAGGTGCATTTTTCGGGTAGCCCCCATAACCGAATTCGCTGTTATTTAGTACTTTATTAGTCGTATAACGTAACAAATCTCCCTCACAAAAATTACACTGTGCAACAAATTAATTTTTATTTTTTGAAGGAGGGGCTAAAAAAGAAGACAAGTGTATCAGCGTTTTGAAAGTTTACTTCGGGAGGTAACTTAAAAAGGTGTGGCAATTCGAACTATGATTTCTTGAAATAATTGCATTTTAGGTATATAGTGTCTTCGGCAATATAACTGATAAAATATTTTGGTATACAACTTTTTGGGGGTTGTACAAAAATTGGTTTACAACAATAGATTGATAGAATTGTCGTTACAGGTCCACTTTATGGTATGTTCCATATAATTTCAATTCAAGTTACTATTGGTATTCTTTTGGTGGTTGGTATCAAAAGTTTGGCCCTGCCGTACTTAACGTTTTTCCACTTGTTATATTTTGTTTATGTATTGCCCTACATATGCCTAATCAGCATATTCCGTGAGATTTTCGATCACATACAATACATTAAACCTCAGAAATACAGATTTTAAATGTTTTGAATGTAAGTTTGGTCATATCAAATTTCAACCTTTTCTACTTATAGGGGTTACCTTCTCCAGCCCATAGAAGATATCTACAAATTAAATTTCATGTATAGAAAATCTGTCAAAGCCGGTGGCATTTGTTCTGTTAAAAAATAATATTTTATTTGAATTTTGCCTGTAAGGGTGATAATCGTTTGTATCAGTTTTTAAGTAACTTTGTTGAGCTTATTGATCGAAGTTTTTGCAATGAAAAGAAAAAGAACCTAAGCATACAGCATTATGCGGTGTCCTCTAATGCGATCAAAAAAATTTAAAATTTTCATCCTCTAAATATTAACCGATCATTACAAAAACAATAAGGGTCTCCTACATTCAAACTTTCGTACCGATTGGTCCATAACTGTCCGACACACATGTCTAGATTGACTCAGCTACAACGATCGTTATACTAAAAGGTGGGTTTAGCATCAATATTTCGCCAAGTTACAAACTATTGTGACCGCACAAAGATATAATACCCTTACATTACGACATTCCCTAACTTTGAATTCGATTTAAGTTTAGAAGAAATGCAATTTCGTTGAAATCTAATACTCGTTTTGAGAGTTATCGTGCGTACCAACCAACCCCTACAACATTGTGGTGTGGACCGAATCCAATTTAAGTTTTCAAAAATAAAGTTTCGATGAATTCGGATACTCTCTTTGAGAGTTATCCTGCGTACCAACCAGAAAATGCAAAATTGTCTGAAGCGGTTTTTATACCCTTCACCACACTGTGGTACAGGATATTATGTCTTTGTGCATATGTTTGTAACAGGCAAAAGGAATCGAGATAGACCCATGGTTCCTTTTGAGAATATGCATAGAATCACTTTCTGAGTCGATTTATACATGCCCGTCGGTCCGTCCGTTCATGTATTTTTGTGAACATGTACAGCTCACATTTATGATACGATTTGGATGAAATTTGGCACAGGTCACTTAATTGGCCCAAGGACGAACCCTACTGAAATTGGAGAAAATCGGTTCAGAATTAGATATAGCTCCCATATATATTTAAGTCCGATGTTACCTTATTGATGTACCAAACTGCCAATAGTGATCCGATTGAGACACAATTTTGCACAACGTACTGAAATTACAGGTTGAAATTGGTTAGGTTTTGTTGACAACGCATGAGATTTAGATATAGTTCCCATATATATAGATATAGCTTCCATATATATTCGTTCGATTTTAAGTAAATGGTGCACCAAAGACCCACCACTTGGCCGATTGGCACAACATTTTGCAAAACGTACTGATGTTAGTATAACCTAACGTGTATCAA